CCTTGTTATCTCAGATTCTCCAGCATCTGCAGTTCCTACTATCTCTGAAATGGCCTGAATTGCTTGTTTATGTTTTGTAATTCTCTCCCTGGCTGGAATAGCCTTCAGCCGATCATTCACCTCATCTACATGAGAGCTGTGTAATACTGAGAAACTGCCTCCGACAACATAAAAGACACATCCACAGCCTGGCGCTAGGGACAGCAATCCATTTTGATCTCAATAATCATTTTCTGTGTGTGATTACAAAACCGCAACAAACATTAATGACGCACAGAAGGAAGAATAATGCAATTCTTTGCAAAGTTCTGGAACAGGAATTAAACTGAGTTAGTGACATCAAGAGAAGTCACATTGTTTTTAACCCGGTGCAAATTATGTACTATCTACAAGATGCACTGCAGAAATTCACCAAGGATCCTCAGACAGCACCTTCCAAACCCACGAATACTTCCATCTAGAAGGACAAGGGCAGCAGATATATTGAAACATCCCCTGCAAGTTCCCCTCCAAGCCACTCACCAACCTGACTTGGAAATGTATTGCTGTTCCTTCAGTGCCACTGGGTCAAAATCCTGGAATTCCCTCCCTAAGGGCATTGTGGGTCAACCTACAGCAGGTCGACTGCAGCGGTTCAAGAAGTAAGCTCACCCCCACCTTCTCAAGGGGCAACTAGGGACGGGCAATAAATGCTGGTTAACAAGTGACAGCCACATCCCACAAATGATTAAATTTTTTAAAAATCAATTTTTTCAGAATGCATTTTATAACAATGAGAATCATAGAGTCATAAAGATATACAGCATGGAAACAGACACTTCGGTCCAATTCATCCTTGCTGACCAGATATCTTATATCAATCTAGTCCCATTTGCCAGCATTTGGCCCATATCCCTCTAAACCCTTCCTATTCATATACCCATCCAGATGCCTTTTAAATGTTGTAATTGTACCAGCCTCCACCACTTCCTCTGGCAGCTCATTCCATACACGCACCACCCTTTGTGTGAAAAAGTTGCTCCTGAAGTCCCTTTTAAATCTTTCCCCTCTCACCTTAAACCTATGCTGTCTAATTTCAGACTCCCCCACCCGGGGAAAAGACCTGAACTGTTTACCTATGCCCCTCAGGATTTTATAAGGTCACCCCTCAGCCTCTAACGCTTCAGGGAAAATAGTCCCAGCCTAATCAGCCTCAAACCCTCCAACCCTGGCAACATCCCTGAAAATATTTTCGGAACCCTTACAAGTTTCACAATATCGCTCCTATAGCAGGGAGACCAGAACTGCACGCAGTATTCGTGGTCTCACCAATGTCCTGTACAGCCACAACATGACATTGCGACTCCTATACTCAATGCACTGACTGACAAATGCCTTCTTCACTATCCTATCTACTTGCGACTCCACTTTCAAGGAACTATGAACTTGCACTCCAAGGTCTCTTTGTTCAGCAACGCTCCCCAGGACCTTACCATTAAGTGTATAAGTCCTACCCTGGTTTGCCTTTCCAAAATGCAGCACCTCACATTTATCTAAATTAAACTCCATCTGCCACTCCTCGGCCCATTGGCCCATCTGATCAAGGTCCCGTTGTACTCTGAGGTAACCTTCTTCGCTGTCCGCTACACCTCCAATTTTGGTGTCATCCACAAACTTACTCACCATACCTCCTCTGTTCACAACCAAATCATTTATATAAATGATGAAAACCAGCACTGATCCTTGTGGCACACTGCTGTTCACAGGCGTCCAGTCTGAAAAGCAGCCCTCCATCACCCTCTGTCTTCAACCTTCAAACCAGCTCTGTATTGAAATGGACAGCTCTCCCTGTATTCCACGTGATTTAAATTTTGGAAAAAAAAATTCAAAAACTATTTATTTTATAAAATACTCAGGCAGCATCTGTGGGGAGAGGAAGAGTTAAAATTTCAGTTTCCACAAGAGCATAACCTTTTCTCTTTGCATGGTGATACCTGACTTTCTGAGTTGTGGCAACATTTCCTGGTTTTAGCTCCCAGATTTCCAGCACCTGCAGTATTTTGCTTTCGTTTCTATTTATTTCTGTGTTTCAACAACAGATACATTTCATTACATGCTCTGATGATTCTCAAAAAATGGAAAAGCCATTAGACTGGAGAAACAAGATAAATAATGAAAAGGAACAAGACTTATTTATCTTTCTAATTATTTGGAGTAAGCACAAAATGAGCAGTTCTGAGAGAGAGTAAAGAAAGAGAGATAAACACACAAGGAGAAGGAGGGAAGAAAGAGGATACGAAGGGAGGAGGCGAGCAAGGAGGCAGCGAGCAAGCGATTGGGCAGGTAAACAAGCCGGGCCGTGCCAGGGATCATCTACCAAAGGGAAAGTTTCACACGGATACCTAGGATCTCCTGAGCAGCACATTCCACACATGGAATCACGACGTGATTTGTGTTTACTGAAAACAAGGGGAAAATGGGAATTAATACCAATAATTCCCTGTGATTCCGCCACAGAATCAGTAGCTCAGCATTCTCCAAACAAAGCAACTTAGCTGGAATGAGCAAAACCTCCATCTGGATATCTCCATATAGGAGCTATGTTCTCTCACAGGTTAGATTTTATTCAGGAATCCATGATCAAAGGGAGGTCTTGGAGTTGCCGTGGGGATGGTCCCAGCCTCTGAGGTAGAAGCTCTGGGATTAAGTGCCACTCCAGGACCTGCTGACCACAGAAAGGGAGCTAATGATATCTTTCAATGGGTGATCAACCTGCTCACTGTTCCAACGTTACCTGCTATTTCCCAGAGGGGAATAAAGCTGACTTGTGGATGTAAGGCTACAAAGCGAACAGGTTCTGTCGCAAATAAACAAATAAACTCAGACTGCGATTAGTGACACTGAGGCATTCCCTCATTATCAACATGTAAAACAGGAACAGGAATAGACCATTCAGCCCCTCAAGCCTGTTCCCGCCATTGAAGAAGATGGATGGCTGATCTGGTTGTGTTTTGAATTCCACATTTCTCACCAACCCCTTGTTTAATTCCCCTGCCTGATGAGAATCTATCTCCCCATCTCTTAAACCTTACAGCGATCACTGCCGTCTGATCTTGAAAAGTGAACATTGTTACAGGACAGATGTAGCCTGTTCCATTTCAGGGTCAGCAGGGTTTATCTTCTCTCCCAGTTATTTGGGTGTGCAACTAATCCCGAGTAGGAGAACACAGGAGTGAAAATGTCCAGCCCATAGGTGATGGTTTTCCATTAAGGCCCTGCTCTGAAACACTGGCGACACTTCTCCTTGAGTTTGTGGGTGGTCTGTTGGAGTGACTGTATTGGCAGCACTGTGCCCATAGGTTCTGACTACCAGCTGGTATCTCACTCGCATGCCAGGTGTCATTGATGTTTGCCCATTAGTTAGGAAGGGGTCTCCGATCCTGCCCTCATTCAATACCCACTGATCTGAACCCCCAACATCAGCCACAGGATTTTAGCTCTCGTTCCTACCTCCCCACCATGTAAGGAGTAGTCAGGATTATTGTACACCCCACACCACTGCCCCAGGGCACGTCAGCTACATCAGTACAGACTGGCAGCAACTTGTCTATCCAAGTTTTGTCTTCACTGAGCCATCAGGGAGAGGAAGCTTAGTAACCAGGAAGCTGCTATAGCACATTGTGGATTATATTCTGGAGTTATCAACTGGATGTAGAGGAGAGGGGAGTTCACATTTTGAACTGTTGGACAATGAAGCATTTTCATTTCATTGCCAGCTTCAGGCATTCCCACTTGCTCAAGGTCTAGTTGGATCATTGCAGAGTAAAGCTTCCACTGTCCTGCCCTAACAATACAGCTGAGGTGGAATCTCAGAGGCAATTGTCTCACTGTATTCATGCAACATTATCCTCTTCACTGCTGTAGCCACATTTAGCTGCCAATTTTTGTACACTGAGCCAAAGTCTGCCAGGAACTTTGGAATCACAGAATGGTTACAGCACACCATCATGCTAGGACCAATTAAGCTATTCCCACTCATCCTTATCGCAAATCTTTTCTATTCAGATGATTTTCCAGTTCCCTTTTGAAAGCCTCAATTCAATCTACCTTCATTGCACTCTGAGTCAGTGCATTCCAGATCCTAACCAATTATCATGTTTATTGACCTATGCAGTAATTTAGACCTTACTGCATTTCCTCTTACTTTGGCTACATTTCTGCTCAATCCACCAATTCCTACAGCCACAAGCTTGTAGCATTGGAAGGAATTGGACACTGACTGTTGTTTTCTAGCTTACTGCCCAGTTCCCTAAGATATTACAGCAGCACATCATTCCTCTTCTGACCATACGGTATCCTGATGAATAACTGGAGCCGCCTGTTCACCGTCCGCACTCAAGAGTGTGCTACAACCACTCAGTGACATCCTTGACCTTGGCACCAGGCACTAGGCCAAATCCTGGATTCACATCCGTGGCTGGGGAAATATCTGCTCCCCCACTCCCCTCTCGAATCCCCCAGTGTTAACCCTTTCTGAACCTTCTTCCTCTACCAGCTGCTGCATGGGCTTGGCTCTGGCTGCATTTCAAAGAATCTCCATGACCCTCAGCTGCATTCTGGCTGCAAAGGGAACTGCCCACCTGAGATTCCTGCATAAACCACATGGCAGACACCCAGTTCCTCTCTGCCTCTGTGCCCTTTCGCTGCTGAGTAGATCATTGGAGACTGAATTCAACCTAGAGCTGCCTGAGAGAGATGTTCAGCCAGTAACCAGGGCTGGTCCTAGATGCAAATACCCAGATGTAACTGTGGCTTTGCACATTTCCATTCTTCACTAAAGAATGATGACTCCAAAGGAAAGGAAAGTCAGGCATATTTTTAACAGGTGGTTGATTGAAGAGAGCAGCTTCAATCCTGGCTGACATGTTGAGAATGTATTTTCTGAAGAAGGGTCCAGACCCGAAACATCAGCCTTCCTGTTCCTATGATGCTGCTTGGCCTGCTGTGTTCATCCTGCTCTACACCTTGTTATCTCAGACTCCAGCATCGGCAGTTCCTACTATCTCTGAGAATGTATCCTGATGTTCATCCATTAAGGTAGACAGTTGGAAAGATCTGCAAACTGTACCTGTGTTAGACGTGTTGAGCAGAGATGCAATAGTGGTTGATAAACACATAGGACAGAAATTGTACTGAGACACAGAGCTGGTGATAGTGTAAATCCTATGTGATCTGTAACATGCAGAGCACATGTGGCATCAGCTGGGCACGAAGCAGATATCAGGAGCCTCCGGGTTGAAATGCAACTGGGAATTGGTTGTCCATCTCTTGTGGCTGAAGTTAATCCAACTCGACACTTTGATATATTGTTGTGTTTAACGAGGAATTCACCTGCATGCCCCACAGTTGCACAGCACAGTTAGAAAAGACTCCGAAACCATTTTGTCATTTCAGCACAGCCTCCTTGGAAAGCAGTGAGGAGGATGGATTTTTTATCCCTTAACAAGAACATGATTGCCTTGCATCAGCGCCCCTGTTTTGGTTGTTACAAGGATAGAGAGGAATTGGAAGCTTGCTTATCCAGTAAGGCACTGCAAAGCTGAAAGACAATCCCCTCACCTATTGGGCATCGGTTGGAAGTGAGAGAAAAAGAGAAAGGTTTGTATTTATATAGCACCTTTCACACTGCTTTAGGCCATTCCAATTTTCAGTCACTTTTGCAATGCAACGAATGAGAAGTTATTACCTCCAGATGTGTTAGGCCAATGTTAATCGCCTAGCCTTACTTACTCTAAAGGTTAGTTTAGGTCTGGTCATATGTGAATAAACCTTGGCAATGCCATGTCAATGGACTCAGACAAGGAAGTGATCATTCAGTGATTGATTCTGTAACTAGGGAGAAGGATGGCCCCTTCTGAGGCTTTGAGGTGATATATAGATCCAATCTGTCCATTCAGGTGTAAATAAAAACTCCAATCGGGAGCATTGTCAATAGGGAAGAGAACATTTAAATGGGAATTTCTTAAGCTGCATCAACTTGCGACCAGGCATGTCCTGCTTACTCTGTAGAAGCAATAACGTTGTTGGGTCCACTGAGTTGTGTCTTTATTCAGCAAGATGACAATATAGATTCCAATTCGGACAGATCCCTTATCCAGGAGGGCCAGAAATGGAGACCAGAGACCTGGGACAAGTAGAAGCCATTGGTGAAAGCAAGGAGAGCAGAGATAGTGATTGTCACTGCTCAGAGATAGCAACAGGAATTGAGGAGATGATGATAAATCTGTGGGAGCTTCCAATCACATCAACTCCCTCCACAACACCAACAGATTACTGACTCAGGAGATTTTATTTCTGCTGTTTCACTAACTTAATTAATTTTCTGGTTTAGAGAATGCTTGAAGCAAACCAGGAAGAAATATCAATGCCAGAACCTTTACTGAAACCAGGCTCTGTATGATCGTTTTGAGGCAGGAACGACCTCACTGAGAAAGTCTGGGAATGGTTGCCGTGGAATCTTCGGAATCTCACTCTTGCAAAATGGTGAGGATGAAACATAACACTTACTGTCAAAGTTCAGTAGTCTGCTTAAGCAAAACAAGAAAGACAGTTATCAAAAGAAGTGAGTAAACTGTATACAGTCATGTCAATTTACAGTGAAGCATCCAGAGCAATCCTCAGCTACAGAACTGTGCATAAATCCTGTCCATTCATATCAGAAATCTGAACAGATCCATCATTCCATTTCAGAAAGGATGGAGAGCTGACAGGAAGCAGGTTGGTTGCAGACCAGGCACCATCCCAGATGGAAATCCAAACAGCAGTTGGCAGTCTACATAAAGGACTGAGACTCTCTCACTGACAGGGCTCCCAACCCACCCTAACCCTTACACGCTCAGTTTCTGCAGATTACCTCATCCTGAAGGTGTCTGCTGGATGCAGCCTGTCATTGAGGGCAGATAGCACCCTGCAGAGAGCAAAATATTACCTAAAACACCTGGGCTGGTCTTGTTCAGCTGCTATTGCCAGGTTTAAGCTCCCTTAAACACTCATCTTATGTCACTTCATGACCCAGGACTAGGCAGGAGCCAACAACAAGACCATGTGAGGAGTAGGGGAAACACAATGAAAATAACAGTCCATGCTTTGTATCTGGGGAACTTTGAAAACCATAGAATTAATTAACACAGCAATGAAACAATGAGGCTGATATTCCACGGCAAAAATCAAAGGATTCACTTGAAATTCAAAAGCCCATCCAGCATGTCTTATCTATAGAGAGTGGGAGCAAACTTCTGGCTTTTCTTATTTAATCAGGGCTTCAAAATCGAGCAAACCTGGGTGTGGTCTCCACAGTCTCCTTCCTGTGGAAAGAAAAAGAGAACAAACACAACTGGTTAACTGGGACATGCCAAAGTGTTTAATCAACCTGCCTGTAACACAAGGCTAGCCGAGGTCACGCAACACTGTCAGGGTCAGGGATTCCTGAGATCTCACATCAAGCTTGTACAAGTGGTTAGACCTCCATATACACTACTGCTAACAAACCTTTCCAAAACAGGCAAGACACAGAGTAAAGCTATTCTTTTAAACAGAAAGTAAACCTACCTCTACACTGTTCCCAACAAACATTCTCAGGTGAAGTACAGCGCAGGGGTAGATATAAGGTAATGCTCCCTCTGCTCTGTTAAAATGAAACTAAAACTCTGTTCCCCACAGCACCCTCACCCTTTTCTGATGAGGCCCGAAACGTCAGCCTCTCTGCTCCTATGATGCTGCTTGGCCTG